TGATTATGTTGTATTTGTGCAGTTTGATTGTGGGATTCATCCTGCGTACTTGGGAATGGATGTGTTACCTTACTTCGATGAGATTGAGCCTTCCACCATTGATGTCCTCTTGATTACTCAGTATGTTTATTTTTATCTTGCTCTTTTGCCGAATTAGGTACTAATCTGTTTAAGTTTTGGATTGATGGATTGGGAGGCTACTAGAGCAAAGTCTTCAAATTTTGAGCTTCTTTATTGGATTAGGATTCAATGATTGATGTTGATTTGGATTTGTTTGTTCTTTGTGTCTATTTGTATACTTGAAAATTTGATTTTAGTTAAACTTGTAATTTAACTCGGAACATCGGTTTTGATTCTCTGGAGAGAGGCGATAAACTCATCGCTATTACTGAAACAACTATCATACATATGGTTGCCTCTTTATACAAAAGCATGATGTGTAGAGGAAACCTTTATTGAAGGATTAGGATTCAATGATTAATAGTTTGAGCTTTAGGAAGGCTGGAATTTACTCTTTGTGTCTGTGTCTACTTGAAGAAGTTTGGTTTTGGTTATTCTGTGTCTACTCGAAGAAGTTTGGTTTTGGTTATTCAAACCTTTTTTGTGAGTGATAACAAAGTATGGATTGATGTTCCTGTCTAGAGTCTTCTTGATTCTTGATTCTTAGTATCGTTTAGACTTTACATTCAAGAAAGCTAAGACTTGATTTGTAAACTTGATTAAACTTCAAGAACTTTTTATAAATTTTAAATAAACTATTTTTTATTCTTTAATACCATTTGAGTATCATCATTGACACACAAATATTAACAATAACTAAATGAGTCTCAAACACTAAATTAATATTAAAATTAATATTAAACAATGTTTAAAGAAACCTGTTTATCCATGAATTTTTATGGGTTTTTTTAAATATAAAATTATTAAAAAAACACTCTCTCTTCATTTTACTCAACTTTATATCTTCTCTTTCATCCTTTTACTCAACTTTATACATTTTTTTTCATCCTTTTACTCAATTTTATTAATTTTATATTTAAATACACCCTAGCTCAATCTCCAAAAGTTTATTCTAATGATACTCTCTTTCCAAAAATATCAACTATCTCCTCTCTTTACTCAAAATTTATTAATTTTATATTTCAATATACCTCATTATTTCAACCAAATACACTATCTTTCTTCCTTTTACTCAAATTTTAATAATTTTATATTTAAAGAAACCCACAAAAGTTCACCAATAAACATGCTCTTTCATCTCAAAATGACACTTTGATTCAATACAAATCTCAAAACTCCTCCATAAAAATAATTTTCTTTTTCAATTATTTTTAATCCGAAAAATAGGTCAATTACATTGTTAATCCAGCCCAAACTTAAAAATTACATGTAATACCTGGTTTTAATCCGCCTAAACCGGATCGACCCGCGAATGACCTAAACCGTCTCTCCAAACCGGATCAAATCATCAAATCCCTAACTGTTACGAGACTGTTGCTCTCCCTCCCTCTCCCGGCGAAATCAAAACTGTCGACTTCATATCTCCGATTTCAGAAAATTAAAACCGCTACTCCTCTAAAAATTAAAACCGCTACTCTTCTCAAAATCAAAATCGATTTTCGTTATCTCTCTCAATTTCGATTTTCGTTATCTCTCTCGAATTGATATCAATGCCTCGACTCCGAAAGAAATCCTTGGTGAGAAGGTCGGAAGTTGGTCTTCCGGAAATTGGTGAGAGGAATCAAGAAGGAGAGGCTGTTGTTCGAGAATTTGGTGTTCCGGATGTTGAAAAGACGAATGAAGAAAGAGAGGAAGATGTTGTTCCGGATGTTGAAAAGACGAATGAAGAAGGAGAGGAAGATGCATGGGAAACTGTTGTTCTGGAAGTTGAAAACATGACTGAAGAAGAAATGGTTGAAAACACGAATGAAGAAGAAAGGGTTCATCCGTGGGTTGAGAGTGAAGAAGAAAAAGAAGACGACGACGAGACTCTTTTGGTGAATATTCTCAAGAAAAAGAAGACGGGCAGAAAGAGGAAGGGAGGAGTAGTTCGCAAAAGAGACATGCGTCCGAAGAAGAAGAAGATAATGGGAGATGAGAGGGAGTCTCCGGCTCCTACTCCGGTTGAGGAGGTGCG